TGTACTGCACACGCTCATCATAAACACCTCATCTTCGGTCATTTTTATAATTTTTTTTAAGATAAAAAATATCACTAATACATATTTACCAATATACAAAAAGTTTCAAATAATGTGGGCCTTAAATTAGTATAAAATTAAATAATTACTAAAAGAGAGTGTATGTTTTGTTCTTTTGACATGTCTCTACATAGAACGATCTTCTGAATAAACATGGTTAAGAGCATATTAGAAAATATTATTTTTAAAAATGTTTATTCGTCAACAACGACTATTCCAAAAAATATCATTAAAATGTAGCTAATTTTTTATTTTTGTAATTTAAAATTCAATAAATTGTTTCTTGAGTAAAGTAGGTAATAATCAAAAATTATACACAAATTGACAAACTAACTAAAATTGTGGGATTCTTTTAAAAAACAATAGGTTGTTTTCTTCTTCCTTTGGTTACTCCCCAATATAATAAGTTTTTTTAGATATTGAGTGCAAATTCTCTTGTTTCTTATAATTTTCATTAGTCAACAAATATATATACATAGTTGTTTTGGTGCGATGACCATTAAAATATAATTTTAGTAAAACTTACGGTATAAATTCTAGTTATCTTTAAATCGGAATATTTAAAGACTGATTTCGGATATCAAAGACATTATGAACTAAAAAGTTCAGAATTCTCACGGTTTATTAAAAAAAAAAAATTATAGTTATGTTATTTAAATTAGTTTGTTTTTCAGTGTAAATGTTATATATATATATTTATGAAAATTCATATTAAGTCGCTCATTTTACACTTTTTCATTCAAAATATAATGCAAAATCATTCATTAGAATGAAAAAATTAAGTGATAATTAAAAAAAAAGAAGTTAAATCATACTTTTATGTTTTTTAATGAGTGATAATATCCGGTTATATTTTATCATTTTCTCCATAGATTAATAAACGTAATGAATATATAATTGAATAATTTTTAGGTGGGGTTTGAACTTTTGGGATACTGATAAAAGAAGTTGAAAGCTCTACTCGACAGGCATAAGCAGTCCATGAAGTTTCACTACTTTATATAATCCTCTCTCTTTTTCTTCTTCTTTCCATAGAACCCTTCGTTAAACCCATTCTCTTCTTCACTCTCTCTCTCTTTTCACAGTTGTTTAGCTACTCTAAACATCACTTAAGCTTAATTTTGTAAGATCATGGACCAAAGCAGTGCTCTTCTTACCTGGACTTACTTCTCTCATGGAAAGGTATTCAATTTTTTTCCAACATTTTTGTTTCTCGTGTTTGTTTTTTTTTATTTTAATTCTCGTTGCTTTAACTTTCATTGATTCACTACTCTGCTTAGATCTGAGCATAATGTGTGTCCACAACCATAAGTTTCTTGTGAGGTTTTGCAGTCTTCTTCTTCGTCTGTGCATCAAAACCCTAACTTTTGGCCCAGTTGCTGATTTTAAAGTCAATTTTGCATAATTGGGCTACTTAAATCCTTACAAGGGTTTCTAATTACTACACTTGCTAAAAAATTAGACACATTCGCCGTTTCCCTAGCTTAATTTTACAAAATTGTTGTTCTCAGTTCTTCAATTGGATGACGACTTCTGCTCGTGTTGTTTCGAAATCGGACACAATCTCGAAAATTTAGCTTAATTTTCGCATTTTGTTAGTAAATTCGCTGGAAAAGACAATATTTTGGGGACATGTGTTGCGTTTGCGCGTGTAATTTTCTGCAAATGAAAACTCAACTTTGTGAGGTTTCTCTGTTTTTCTGTTCCTCTTTTCACAGTTCTAGAGTTTGATTGTTTTTCTGCTGAATTGTTCAGACAATGGAAGAGCTAAGACAGACTCTTGTGTACACAACGCTAGAGCTAGAACAAACGAAGGTGGTGGCTCAAGAGGAACTAAGGAAGAGAGATGAACAACTGATCCATCTCGAACATGTTCTAATGAAAACCCTCAGAGAAAGAGACGAAGCTCTCGAGAAATGTCACCACCTTTTAGTCGACAATCTCTTGCTTCAACAGAAACATATCACTCCTCCTTTATCAGGAGCTTCAAGCATTGAAGAAGAGCAGCTTCAGCCTAACTCCAACAAGAGCTTTTCGTCTTCAGACACGGAAGAGAGCGTCATGTCACCATCAGTGATCGATCCGGTGATAATGGACCAGGCATCTGTTGATGTATCAGGAACTGAAATAATGGCTACATTGTTGTTGGAAAAGCCACTGCCTGAAAAGGGACAGCTCTTACAAGCTGTTCTCAAGGCAGGCCCTTTGCTTCAGACACTCCTTTTAGCCGGTCCTCTGCCTCAGTGGCGCCACCCGCCACCACCTGTTGAGACCTCTGAGATCCCTCCGGTCACCGTCCCACCACCGCAGTTTCAGAGCCCAGTTGTCAACAATGGTTGTGGGGATTCCAACAAGAAAAGGGCGTGCTCAAAAATCTCTGATGGGTCTTATTCAGAAACCAAGTATCAGAAAGTTCTGCTTTGACCTGAAATTGCGCACCGATCTTTTATCCTTACTCAGCAGATACTAATAGTCTTGTAATATACCAATACAGATCACTTTTCAGTTTTAATCTCACTTAGGGTTTTAGTGAGAGTGATCTTTTAAGTCAGTTTTTTGTAGATAGAGCTTGATTTTTGTCTTCTTATAAATTTGTGGAGAGTGAATCTGATCTGATCCATTTAGGGTTTAGATTTAGAGTGATAATGGGAATGAAACTCCCCTGGTTTAACTCAAACACGAGTTTTTTTACCAAGTGAGAGAG